GTACAAGATTTGGTGACCAAACCGCGATAAACAACTTTGAGAGGGACGAGGGGAGCACGAGAAGGGAAAAAACAGCGTTTGGTTAAAGTGTCCCAACTATATTTTTGTCTGAGACTGTAGCATAAGGTTATGCTGGCTTAAATGGTTTTCCTATTTCATAACTTTTATTTATTTAATTCTTTTTTCTATAAATTTTTATTTATTTATGTTTGTTCTATTTTTTATCTTATTTTTTAAATTTATTTCCATTTGATTTCCTTTGGTATACAAAATAGTAAATAATTAATTATGCAGGGGTATAGGGTATCTTATTATGTAAACACATCTGAAAATTAGTTTCTATTGTAATTTAGGGCAGAGCCCAATAAGGTTTGTCAGTATTCTAATAAACGTTTTACCCTTATTAAATAAAATTATCATTATTATTATTATAAGTATTATTATTAGTATTAGTATGATGTACAAATTTTGTTTTGGTTCAATTATTTTTCCTTGGTTTGATGTTTATTTTTATTTGTTTTTGGCATGGCAATATGTAACAGTGATCAGTGCCAAGAAAGGAAAAAAGACAGGGATATAAAAAAATATGCAATAAATTGAACCACAACATACACTGTTACTTGCTGATATTGGCTATTAAGTGATGCTAAAATTTGAAATTGTCATGATTGTGAGACACAGTCTTTACAAATGCAGTTTTTGTACCCTACAGTAAAATAATATGATGTCGTATGTGTTTTTTTTTTGTAAATAATAGAAGGTTAGCTATTTCTGAAACATTTTGCAGTGCAATGTTGTCTTTTTTCTAATGTTTTGTGTTGGTCCTTTATTTTTCTTTATTGTTTTATAGCACAGAGTTCAGTTCTCAGTCAACTTAGACGTTACTTCCTATAAAAATGGAGTCAGAGAGACCCATAATCCTAAAGGAAGAGCTCTTGCTCCTGTTGTTTGGGACTTTTATGAGGTTTGTTAACATCGATAGTACTACAATAATGTAGCATATGTACGCCACTTATAGCTGTCCATGTAGGAGTAATCTTACTGAGGTGTCCATCTTGTAGAGGTGTCTGTTAACAGAGATTCGACTGTACAACCTTTCTGTCATTGACATCGAAGGAGTTTGATTTTTCAGAGGAGGGTGGCAAGAAGGGCGGGTGGATGGGTCTCCTAGTTCAAAACATCAAGGTTGAGAGGGTAGTGTCGCGGTGTGGGGTGACTTTTTCCAACACTCTTTCGACAGGGCAGATCGGAAACTAACCTTTTTAAATTAACTATCATTTTCATCAGATGAATATGTCAGATTTTAGTTTGACTAAATTTCCTGCTTGGTTTTAGAATGGCTGTTCTGTAAGACTTCTAAACCCACAAGCATTTTCTCATTCAGTTTGGAAGTTGACTTCACTTTTACAAGAATACTTTGGTTGCTTGGTTGGTGCAAATGTGTAAGGATGTCTTTCAACATGTTATTTTTTTTCTGTGTTGTGTTTAAATATATTATAAATTTCAACTCCAAAACTTTTGCCTTTGGATCAATCTATAGTAGCTAGTGTGAATCATAATCTTAAATTTTAATTGTGCCTGAATGAAATTTAGGCTAAGTTAAACTCAGGACATGGCTCGCCAGTAGTCTCTCGTCAAAGGTATATGTGGAGGCGTCCTGATCATGTCACTGGGGCTCATGGGTCTTTTTACAGCCATTCTCTTGAGGTCAGGCCATTACATTTGCACATAGTGGCTCGTGATTTCCAAGTGTTTTTACTGTTCCCTACCCTTCCCTCCCTATGAAGGTAAGTATGTCAGGTTGCACTGGTTAGCAGTGTGATGGTGCCTGGATCATAATGGTTGCCACTCCTAGGGTTGCCAAGGTTACACATTGCACTTGGCTGCAGTTTGGGGCTCCACCAGCCCTACAGGCACCTCTCCCCACACTCATCTCTGTTGATCAGTTTTTTTAAGTTCAAATGATCTATTCTTTCTCTTTCCAGTTACCTAACTCCACCAGGTTCTCAAGGATTTGCTCCTCATTATGATGACATTGAAGCTTTTGTCGTACAGCTGGAGGGCAAAAAACACTGGAGGCTCTATAACCCCAGGTTATCATAATCTTAAAACATATTATTGGATGAGGCTGAGTCTGCAAAATACTTCAGATCTTGTGAAAGTTGAATCCAATAATAATTGTTGCATTATTTATGCATTATTCCTACTTTAAACATGCTTACTAAAGGTATGATTGATGTTAAGTTTCCATCTTCATGGTCTGTTCCTCAGGATATAACGGGATGCATGTTTACTCTGGCAGATATTATTCAACAGTTGTCATCTTTTGAGTTGTATTTTTGCTGTTTTGCTATGTTTTTTTTGGCTATTTTTATTTCTTCTACACAAAGCATGTTGGATTTTTTCATCATTTTCTACCAAGACAACAGTTAAGCTAATGCAACCTCGTACTCTTCAGGGTTTCTCTGTTGCCATCCCTTTTTTTGGCAATGGTCTGCACTAGTGATGCCTTTGTAATAAATGTTATGAACTGAGTCCAAATTAGAGGATTTGTGTGGAGTTATTGGAGCATAACTGAGTGAATGTCTCAGAGACAATTTGCCTCAGAATGCTAGTTTTTGGCAAGTTGGATCTTGGTCTTTCATAATATCCCAGCAAATCCCATAATTTCAAAAATTTAATTTTTTATGATGTCACACTCAAGGTTTGTTTTTATTGTTCTTCAGAAACGATACAGAAGCCTTACCTAGATATTCCAGTGGTAGGTTTTTTTGATATTGTGACTGAAACCTTCACCCGCCAGTATATTATTATTTTATGAATTTAAAGTTCTATTGATCAGTGAAATTTCCTAAAGTACTGGTTTATAGAGGAGCTCCACACGTGCTCCCATATGCGTAGCCCCATAGCTAAGAAAATTTGTTAATCTGTCGGTCATCCGGGAAATTCTCTTGGTAGTAATGTGGCTGTACATCCCTCTTTCTGTCCACACCAAAGGTCACACAATGTGATGAAATGGCACACTATCTGGCTAGTATGGGATGCAACCTGATACTGCACATCCATGTTATGGTCAAATATTATTATTGACAGCTGTCAAAACAGGGTATCTGCTGAACAGTATCACATGACCATATCGCTGGCTCAGGGTTGACCCATTGTAGTTAAGTATTTCTTTGGAGTTTTCCGCTGACAAGTTACTACTTTTTAACTGATGGCAGGCTCAAGTCCAATTTTTTTCAACAGGAAAGTTAGAGTTTAAGTTAAAATACATTCTTTTTGTTTGACATATAAATTTATTAACAGGAGCGTTGCTTTCAGCCTCGCCTAAGTCTTTATATTTAAAAGTAGGTTGAGTTTGATCGTCCAGGTGAAGTCAGATAGTCCTGAATAGGACTGTTGTTGTTGACAGTTACTGACGTCAGTCACTGTCAACAACAACAGTCCTATTCAGGACAACGTTCACCCGGACGATCAAACTCAACCTACTTTTGAAATGACTCCTGGGTTCAAACTTTTCACAGTCTTTATATTTAATTTATTAACTTACTTATTTTGTTAGGTAATTTCAGCCAGGAGGAAATTGGAGAACCCATTCTTGATACAGAGTTGGCTGCGGGAGATGTCTTGTATTTTCCAAGAGGAACAATTCATCAGGTTTGTTTCGTTATCTTCTGCTTAAGCTTTTAGGGTGCTACTTGGTAAACCAAAGAGCCACTGTTTATGTATTACACATCACCGCTAGATTATTGAATGAATGATACTGAAATGTTAAAAGAGGGTAGATCTTGAGCTGTCAAGAAATACATTTCGAAGAAACGTGTAGCTTTTACTGTTTCTTTATCGTTAGATAGAATTTAAGTAGCTGTGACACGAAATTTAACAACGTTCAGACACTAGGAACTGCCACTAAATTGAATGAAACTTAAAAATAACTGCTCAAAACATCAAAAGAAGGTATAAATAACTTTAACAGCAAATACAAAAGAAGGGACAGATTTTCAAATACTCTTTAAAAAAAATCCGAAGCTACTTAATATACTTCTGCATGGGCACAAGTCAGTTCACATTCCTTAGAAACCTTGAGGTCCACAGATGCGTCAGTCGCATGTTATTTTTTTCTTGAAACAACATTTTTTTTGACGATCTGTCTGTTTCATTCCATCTGTTTTAAGCTGTTTTATTTTCCTTATTTAGGCTGACACTCCAAGTGATACCCATTCCCTGCACATCACGCTGTCAACTTACCAGAAGAATGCTTGGGTTGATTTTATGGAAAAGGTCTGTACTTTACTCAGTAAACCGGCGCTTTCACTCCCAAAAGTAGTCAAAGTCAAACTTCAACAAAATTTCCTAAATTTCATTTTGTGAAACGCTGAAATAAAATTAGTACCATGTGAAATTTCTGCCAAAGTGGTCTCTTATTAGAGAGCTTTAGATTCTAAGACGAAAACGGCATCGAGAACGAGATTTTCTCAATACTAAGTAGTTCGCGCGCGCGAACCATCGTCATTATGGCGGGAAGTGTGGTATCCGTCGTCATTCTACTACGAGTTTTAACGAAAATGTCGTAGTGGCAAAAACAAGGTATCAAATGTTAGGAGTTTCATCATTTAGCGATCGGGAGGGGGCTTTACCTCCTTCAAGGGAAATAAGCGTACTAACTTTTGTGGTAAAAAAAAGTACAACGAAGCTTTCCGGGGAGTCTATTTTTAGAGAATACGCGAGAAAACTTAAAATTAAAAATTAAATGTCGTCCTCGTCCTCGAACCTGAAGCTCTCTATTAATCGTCACACGACAGGATTTCGTCCATAGACTCAAAAGTTAAAACCACCCTACTAGCCGAGAGAGACTTCTTCATTCACTCTGGGATTGTAAGGTTAAAGATTTTCCAAAACATCCGTTTTGTAACTGAATTATTGTAAAGCGCGCCGCATTAAAAGTCAGAATTGCACAGTAGGCCTTGTACTAAGAGTAATACTCGCCAAATAAAAGTACGTTCGACACCTGCGGCAGCAGCTGTAAACTTACCACAGGTGGAGCTCACGAGTTTCTGCCATATTAAATCAGACGAAGGTCTCTTTGGAAAGTGTACAGCAGCTGCTTTCACAAAAAAATTATGCTTTTGCCGTTAGCACAGTGGAAATTCTTGAGAAATAGATGAAGTGTTACTCGATGCACTAGAAGCAGATGATACGTGAAAGAACTGTGATCGAAAACGAGACAAAATAATACAGTGGAACCTCGATATAACGAAGGCCAAGGGACTAACGACGTTTCATTATATCGAGGTTCTTTTTCACATATATTACTATTAGTTGGGTAAAGAATGTCATTCGTTATTCCGAGGACGTCGTTATATAGAGGTTCGTTATATTTAGGTTCTACTGTATGACGTTAGTGGTCTGCAAAGGTTTGCCATGTTAAATGCTAGTGTGAAAACTATGACCCAGCCGCTGCGAAAAAACAAGCCAATATGGCCAAACGATTGTCCGTCAAGTGAAATCTCAAATTTTCTTACTGTGACTCGCAGGAACCCCAACAAAAGACTCTAGATTAGAATTGCGTTCTACTGCGTCGGACGCAACTATTTTGTAGAATGTTAAAACTGTAATAAGTTATTTTAAATTTGTTTTTAGTTGATTCCAGGAGCACTGCAAACCGCATTCGAGGAGGATCTTGAGTTCCGTCAGGGTTTGCCACTTAATTATCTCGACTATATGGGTGTGGCAAATTCAGAGTTGGTAAGCTTCCGTGGGTACTGCCATGAAGGGTATGGTTTTCAAGCAGATTAGTCTGGGATAGGGTATACAAATCAGAAACGTTAGGTTTAAAATAGGGCTCACTTTCCAGGAAAGTGGTCAATGGGTTGAAAATTTTAGTCTAGATTAGGAATGCCGGGAATTAATACTTAAAAATATGAAATCTGCAATTGAAATTTGCCTGCAACTTAATTTAACAGCAAAGAAAGCATCGACCTCCATAGTTTGTGGAAAATAACGACTCAAGGATAGGGAGGGAGTTTGGGAGTTAAATCTTAGCAAAATTCAGCTGAACTAGCTCAGGTATATATAGGCTAAGGGTTCCGGGTCCCGGCGGCACATCCCCACTCAAGTTGCTGATAGTGAAGATGTGGTTTATGCTACGACTGAATAATTGTCACAAAAGAAGGGGGGGGGGGGGGGGAACTTACGGGTTTGGGGTGGGGAAGGGTGGGAAAAAACAAAATTTTTTTTCCCTGGGTGGAATTGTGATTTTGTGGAGTATAAACTTGAGAAAACTCGGGCGGAAAGCCCAACGGATAAGTGGGGCTAGGGGGTGGGGGCCCCGGGGCACCACCCCCCCCAAAGTGGGTGAGGGGGGATGGGGGGTTTGTGGCACGATTGAAAATGTTGCAAAAAAGGGGGGGGGGGGGGGGTGAACTTACGGCTTTGGAGTGTGGAAGGCTTAGTACAAACAAAATTTATTTTCCCGTGGTGGCAATTGTATTTTCGGTGAGATTAGGGAGCTTAAGCAACCACTTTTGCGATGGTAACGAGAGCGGCAAAAAGCAGTAATATCAGTAAAACAACAACTCTGCACGTGCACCACGGTTTTTGTACATTCCTTTGCCGTCGTCCCTCCACTGCAATGAGTACGACTTCCATTACACCATTTCCGAGTTTCAAAAACTCTCACTTTCAAAACAAGGCTTCGTGCAAAATCTTTCCTTGGAAAATTGGTTTAAATCGCATGAGAATAAAAAATCATTTTCATATCAATAGCTTCGCGATTAGCGTCGCTTTGAAACAGAGGCTTGGGGCAGGTTTTGATGTTGTGGTTGCTTACCGACTGAGTAGGTTTTCCTTTGCGTTTTTACATTGTTAGCATCGCGTATGACTATTATTTCTTAGAAATTATTCTTCTTGTCATTTTTTTTAGAGCAACAAAGAAAGAACAGACTTCCTCAGGAAAGTCGAGAAACTGATGATGAAATTAGCATCGCATGCTCCAGTGGATGCAGCTGCTGACCAGGTATACTGGGTGACTTTTGTCTTTAACTTCGACCAGTCCATGAAGACTGGCAGAGCAAAAACTTCAAAACAGAAAGTCTTTTCGGCTAATCTCGTAAAAGAGAAAACTACTTGATTCTAAACTGCTTCTTAGATGTATCTATTTCAAGGAAAAATAGTCAAAGTGCTTCCTTAAACTTTTTGGCCGAAAATAAACGATATTTTTTGTTGTTCTTCTCTTCTGCATAGATGGCTGTTGGCGTCCTTCGTGATTGCTTACCCCCAGTTTTGACAGCAGGTAAAAGAAGAAACGGTGATATTGACTTCATTTAACAAGTATTTCCTCCCTTGGATTCCACTTGTTTTGTTTCGTCGCCGTGGGATTTTAAGCAACGAAGGCGACGGAGGTGGCAAAAAAGTGAATTCAGGCTGTTTCAAAATTCTTCGCTCTTATTCCTGATAGTTCTATTTGTCAAATTTTGATGAACTTTTCTGGGGTTGAATTCTAAAGGACTTTGTCTAGGTTTAAAAAAAAAATGATATTAAGCACTTCCAAGTCTTGGTCGTGCGATGACCGCGAAGAAATGTAAGAAAAAGTGTGATGCACGTGCAAAGTTGTTGTTTTGCTGATCGAAACCTATTGCTTTTTTGCCGTTCTTGTTACTGTCGTCGTTCGTTCAGATGTGATTGCTAGGTTAGCGATATTTTTCGAAATATTTTTTTGGAGGTCGGGGGACCCCAGGTGGGTGAAGTAACCGCTTAGCTTAGGTAACCCGCCTGTCCATATAATCTTTCATTTCAATTTGATCACGTTTACGTGATAGGTGGGGTGACCATATGAGAGATTATATGGACAGGCCGGTTACCTCTCCCATCTGGGGTTCCCCACCTCCACGTAAACAGGCTCTTAAAGATCCGACGACCTATGAGTCCCGTTCGTGCACATTCCCTCTGGGCAGGACTGTGTCCAGAAAAGCTGGTAAATAAAACAACAACTTTGCACGTTCATTACCCTCTGTTGCCTGTTTTTGCACGACTACGACGTGAGGTTGCCTACTTTTATGTACTAAGGAGTACGTAAACAAGTGACTACGGAATTTTTATTTGTTTGTCTGAAATTGGATATGGTTCCTAGAAATTCAATTTCAGAGGGGTTCGCCTACATGTGACAAAGTAATTGTCATAATTGGGTAGGAATAATCGCGAGGAAGACTGAAAGAAGACAAACTCACTTTTTAAGCAACGTTTTCGCTGCCATCGCTTCCTTGGACCGTACAGTCCCTATTATCATCATCGCCGATATCACAGTTCTGGTTATCATCATCATCATCGTTATCATATTATCACCATCGTCGTCACAATTATCATTTCGTGTTATTATCTCATCATCACCATTATCGTTGTTTCGTTATCGTTACTGTCTTTCATTATTAATATCGTTATCTTTTCGGATCGAATTTTGTTGAGGTTCTCTTTTCCAACTGCTTAAGGATCCAGTTGTTCCGGGTATTTTCTCAGTTAACTATAATCCTGGCCAAAGATCCTTGAAACACCCATACATTTCCCTTTCCCTCTACAATGTTCAGATGTGATTGCTAGGTTAGCGATATTTTTCGAAGTGTTTCAAGGTTTCTGTCCGAGATTGTGGCTTTTTGTTTATGCTGTTGGCTTGTTCTTAGCAGAAACAAGTAACAGCATTTTTGGAGGCGAATCTTCATGGAACGACGGCAAGATTTCTGACAAAGTTGTAATTGACGAAGAGACCGAAGTTAGGATCATACGAAAAGGGGTTGCAAGGTACGAACGTTTAAAGTAGATTTCTTTACATTTAGAAAGCTGACGTCAAATCTAACTGTACATCAACTCAATGTCGCATAGAGTGTTTTCACTCACGTGGCCAGTATCTATGCAAATTTATTGGAACAAAAGAAAGCGTTTACACGAAAAAAGAGTTCGACTCACGAAGCATTGGTTTGGAACACCAACATGGCTGCCGTTTCATTGTTTGGGAACACCAATATGGCCGCTATGAGCTCATTTGAAAACGCTCCATAACGCTGTTTCACTTGCAGAAAACCCACTCGAAGATGCTCGATTGTTTTTCTTCATCTTTTTGTGGGTATGCGGTTTTGTTTTCGCGGCGAGGANTCGTTATCGTTACTGTCTTTCATTATTAATATCGTTATCTTTTCGGATCGAATTTTGTTGAGGTTCTCTTTTCCAACTGCTTAAGGATCCAGTTGTTCCGGGTATTTTCTCAGTTAACTATAATCCTGGCCAAAGATCCTTGAAACACCCATACATTTCCCTTTCCCTCTACAATGTTCAGATGTGATTGCTAGGTTAGCGATATTTTTCGAAGTGTTTCAAGGTTTCTGTCCGAGATTGTGGCTTTTTGTTTATGCTGTTGGCTTGTTCTTAGAAGAAACAAGTAAAAGCATTTTTGGAGGCGAATCTTCATGGAACGACGGCAAGATTTCTGACAAAGTTGTAATTGACGAAGAGACCGAAGTTAGGATCATACGAAAAGGGGTTGCAAGGTACGAACGTTTAAAGTAGATTTCTGTACATTTAGAAAGCTGACGTCAAATCTAACTGTACATCAACTCAATGTCGCATAGAGTGTTTTCACTCACGTGGCCAGTATCTATGCAAATTTATTGGAACAAAAGAAAGCGTTTACACGAGAAAAGAGTTCGACTCACGAAGCATTGGTTTGGAACACCAACATGGCTGCCGTTTCATTGTTTGGGAACACTAATATGGCCGCTATGAGCTCATTTGAAAACGCTCCATAACGCTGTTTCACTTGCAGAAAACCCACTCGAAGATGCTCGATTGTTTTTCTTCATCTTTTTGTGGGTATGCGGTTTTGTTTTCGCGGCGAGGAGGAACACTATATGGTGGGCCAACATAACTTGACAGTTCCCATTATGATCTCTTGGTTGTGCTTAGAACAAACGAAAATAAAAGTAGAACTTAAGACAGATTTGATCAGCCCCATGTATATACACAAGATTAATTTTCTAATATGGCAAATAAAATAAAAGTACAAACTTCGATATCAGATGTAACGCTAGAATAAACACGTGGATGTCTAACCTTTTGCTGGCATTGAAAAAAAGGCCAGTATCTTCCATGTATTTCAAGTTAATAATTGTTCTTACTATATAACTGAGTTTATTTCTGTTGATGTCTTTCCAGGCTGGTTGTTGAAGGTGAAGGCGTAAACGTTTATCATACATTAGGAAATTCTCGAGTGTATCACGAGTGTGAGCTGGACAGTTTAGAGCTTGGCTTGGAGGTAGAGTGGAACCTTTTTCTGATGATCAGGTTTTCCTTTATAAACTCAAGAAAATGGCCTCATCTTCCTAAGATACACCACTCGCATATCTCCCATAAGGCACCTTATTTGCCCCCCCCAAAATTTTGCATAACCTTTGTTTTTCATCTCCCCTGGGTATTACACCCGTCTCAAGAGAAACTGAAAACAATGCTTATGCAAAATTTTGGGGGCAAATAAGGTGCATTATGGGAGATGTGCTATACTTTGTAAATACATACAACAGATACAGACTTACCCGTTTACAACTTTCGTCAACACGTGAACGATAGTTAAACTAGCATTTTCGCTTACCCTAGGGGAACATGTTTGTAAACGTAGAAGTATTGTTTTTCTGTGGACAGCGGTAAACGCATGAGTTGAAAACGTTGGTTAACCTTTATTGCTAAATTAAGCGGTTCGTGTGGGCATGTGCATAGACACTGTGAATGTTTACTTCGAACTATCGAATTTGATACACAAGTATAGTTTTGGGATCGCACACTTGCGAAGGTTTACAAAAGCGAATTCCCAGTTTTGTTAGCCGGTGGTTATAGCACTCGCCTCACACCAATTTGGCCTGGGTTTGATTCCCGACGAGGACGCCATATGTGGGTTGGGTTTTTCCGTTGGTTCTCTCTCTTGCTCCGAGAGGTTTTTCTCCGGGTACTCCGGTTTTTTTCTCTCCCCAAAAAACAACACTTGCAAATTCCAATTCGATCTGGAACGCTCGGGGACATTTTAATGAGTTCTTAAGAATTCCCAAGTGCTTCACGGGGAAACAAATAGACCTTGTCACGGTTTTGGAAGCCATTTTGACTAGTGAAATTACAGTGTTTGTATGAGAATCTAATTTTTTCAGCAGAATCGTTAGGAGTGAAGCTTTAGTTTACAATTCATACGTTTTTCAGAACAGCCGTTTTACGGAATTTATTCGACAATAGATTGTCATACAAACACTGTAATTTCTCCCGCGGTTGCCTACTCGTCAAGATGGCTTCCAAACCGTGATAAGGTCTATTATAATTACACTTACAGTAAGCTGAAATGTAGGTTTTGGTTGGAAGAGTAAGGTGTATAATTCAGGTGAAAAGCCTTGCTGGGATGGAGTATAATAAAGTATGTATGTATGTATCACTATAAGATTCCGGAAAAATTGCCCACCTACATGTAGGTGGGCAATGAAACTTCATGGTCATCATTTCACCTCGGCCTCTTTGTCAAATGTTGCCAATTTTTCCTGGAGATGAATAGTTAGGGGCCGCATTCAAGTTCCAGAAAAAAAACAAAAGAAAATGTCCACATCTTATGCTTACGTTCGTTCACCTCCCCCACAAAACTTGGCGTGAGCAAATTTCACGCCGTTTTGTTCAGAGATCAGGACAGCAGTGTACCAACAATTTGCCACCAGAAGCCAGAAGAAAACTGGGCGTAGGCTTTGATAAATTGTCCTCGAAAAAGTAGCATAGTACGCTACTAGCAGTGCTCGCATATTTATAAAATTATGCGATAATTATGCTAGTTTTTGTAAATTATGGTCATTTTAGACAAAAATGCAGAAATAGGCCACTTCCGAGTTCCCCCGGGTGTCTGTATCAAAACGAGGTTAAGTGCTCAACCTTTGATATAGAAATGATTTTTCATTCTCATGCAAATAAAACTCATTAACGATCCCAGAAACAATTGCGGCAGGCATTTCGGCTCCAGTTACCTTCTCGTTTCGAAAGAAGCAAATTGTGATGCACGTGTCATGCACGTGTAAAGTTGCTGCTTTGTTGTTGTTGTTTTTTCCCCTTATCTATATTCGCCGTTTTCGGGGATTTTCTCAGTGAAACCAGCAAACTTTTTCATTTTTTTTCCTGTGTTCCTAGGCTGGTCCAGTAATAGAGGTGATATTGAACCGTCACCCGGAATATATCAAAGTGAAAGATTTGCCTCATGATGATAAGGACTTCAAAGTAAGCTTTAAATACCAGTCTCTAGTTTTGTATTTGTGCTTGCATGCGCTAATTAACGTGACCAACATACAGTTGAACACTCTATCAAGCGGCCACCCTCTATTAAATGGTCAGTAATCAAAGTCCCCGAAATAATTGTAGAAAAGAATAAAGAATAAACCAATATAAAGCAGCCACCTCTATCAAGCGGCCGCGCTCACATTTTGGCCGTCCCAACGAGAGTTCTCCCATTATTGTCACTCTATTAAGCCATGAGGCGCTTGATACAGTTGGTTTGACTTCTTTTTAAGAAAATGATAAAGGAAAATACAGTCCGAGATAGAAGGTGGCGACCAATTGTGGACCAGTAAATATGCTTCCCCCGCGCCGTCGCGCGGCGTTTGTTTCAAAATAAAGTGATGTTTGTGCTAAAGATTATGCCAATTTAGGGAGATTTTCTCTTGAGCGGCCAACCTCCATCGAGCCGATTTGGCGGTTTCCCAAGGGTGGCCGCTTAACCCTGTAGGCACTTAGAGTGATCAGCATCAAATTTCTCCTTGTAATATCAATGCTTTGTAAAACAGAGTGGTTATGAGAATTACAGACATGATCACACAAGATAAATTTGCTCGATATTTTATCAACTTCTCTCCACTACATCTGTAGGTAATGAGTAGGGGCAACAATTGAGAATTCAAGTTTTGATCTTAGGGTTTAAAAGGTTAATGGAGGTTCAACTGTATTGCTGTAACGCTCAATGATGTTTGGTCATTTCTGTTTTCAAACAACAAATTACCAAAGTAATGGCCTAAAATGTTAGATAGAACCTTATTTTTTTAGCCATAAGTAGAGTTAGCTCTCTCTTATCAGATACATAATTCTGTAAATCGAACTCTTGCAAAGCCCCATTTACAAGACATTCAGTTTGGGTCCGGCACTCCTTAAAATGGGCACGCGGGCCGTTTCTTTTGGCACGGCCCGCCCAATTTTTTGCTGTGTAAGTGCAATTTTTTTGGCACGCGGTCCCGAAAAAATCAGGCGGGCCAGGACCACCTCGGGAGGTGGTCGCAAAAAGTGGCCCGCGTGCCTAAAAGAGAACTTCCGGGGCATTTGGTCAGCGATAGGAAATCACTCACGCCATTTTTCTCGTTATAGCTTCTTGATACAAGTCCACACAAACGAAGTGGACACCCCAAATAAGTTTGCAATAGTTTTATACTCGGATGTGGAAACGAGATAATACCATGTTATCGCAAGTCGACGATTTAGAGTAACGGCCTTTCGCATCGGTGTATCCTGACGAGCAATATCTTCGGAAATCTCCTGCAGAATATATTCAAAAATTCCAAGGGTTTCTCTGAAGTTTCATTACCACAAGTCAAATCTTGCTTCAACCATGTCAAACCATGCAAAAGAGCGAGGATGTGCCCACACCTCTTTCAGTTCACAGAGGATTTCAGCAGCTCAAAATATCTACCAAAAGGCCGTATTGTCGGCGATTAAGTACCTTAAAAAATTGTTTAGAAATGATCTTGTTTCGTTTCCTTCGTTTCCTTTTCTTTTTTGTGAGCTTAAAACCCACAAAATTGCTTTTTGTACTCGTGTATCCCCCATTTTTTACTTCTTTCACTTCAATGTTTTGTATAACCCGCGGCGAAAAATTATGCTGATCCTTTGCTGATCGCTAAGTGCGGGTGACTTTTGGCCGGAATTTTATGTCAAGGCCTCAGGAACCACTGTAAAAATGCCCGGTGGCTCAATATTTTAAGTGTGCCTTTCCTAGTTCAGTGGTGCCTGCACGAAATCAACATTGACACAAATTGTCGTGTAAATGACGCAGGCTGTGCCCTAGATTTACGGCTCGCGTGCCAAAATTTAGTAGTGCCGGCCCCCAAAATGAATGTCGTGTAAACCGACACCTATAGTTGGTCTCTACCGTTTTTTATCACTAAATCTTATTGTAACCAGCCTGTCACGATTTAACTTCACACAGCGTTTTTAAAAAAGCTATCGAGCTACTTTGGAGCTAACTCAAATTTTCCGGAAAATTTCAAGTGCCCCAAAACACTCGTAAAAGAAAATTCTAGTAAAAAGTTGATGGTTAATGTGCATTTTTTTCTCCGGTTTCTCTTTCAGATCGATTTGGTGACGTTGCTTTACGAAAAAGGAATTCTTCTCAGAAAATGAACCAGATACAAATTGTATCGTTCCTTACAAGCTGTATAAATTCGTTGACCTTTTTGCCACTCCAGACACTCAATGTGATAGTAAAGGGAGCCTTTTTCGAACGCACAAGATGAAAAAGACACTTGCCTTTGTTAAAGCATGGTGCTTCTTAACTTGTACAACTACGCTACTTTGCGTTTGTCATTTGCGTTTATGGTTATGGCTTATTAGCATTGACCGTGCTCCACAAGAAACCTTTTGGCAAAAATAAAGGGAAATAAATGCAAAGAAGATAATCGCTGTTAAAAACGCAACTTATGCAGTTGCGAAAAGAAAGCCTGATAAAATTTAGGCTTGCCGGGTTTTGAACCCATACCTCTGCGATAGCGGTGCAACGCTCTAACCAATTGAGCAAGCAGGCTACTAGCTCCCGGTTGGCTTGCTAGCTCAATAACCCACGTTCGATATATTAAAATTCTAACATGACTCCGATGCTTTAGGGTCAAACTTGCAAATTTTTCACTACTCTCTTGTCTCACAATTCCCAGAAGAGAATTGAGCACAAAGAAACCCAAACCAAATCTAGAAGAATGACCAGAAAGGTTGTCGGAAAAAGTGCACGCGACAATCCCTTATTAGGTGTTGTGGATGGTTTTGAGTTCTCTGTTCTTCAAAGAAATTTGAAAGAATGGCAGGAGAGGCCATGGACATATGTTTGCAATTGCTAAAGGAAAGCAACAAAAGTAGGTTCGACAGCTACAGTGTCAGGAACAGTATATTGATCATATCCCATATTACCTTTCGGGGTTGTGGCGTGCACATTTTTTTCGACAACCTTTCTCGAAATAGCTGTGTATCGAACATGGGCTATTGCTTAGAGATCTACACAGGTATCGCAGAGGTCAGGGCTCGAGTCAATCCCGACATGCCTCAATTTTCAGATTTTCTTTTCCAAGCTGTTTGAGTTCTTCGGTTCCAATATATGACATTCATGAATTCCTCATTTCAAAACAGAGAGAGCTCTAAACGCGCGCTAACAAAAAGCTTGCTAAACAACCAGGTAATCCGCAGTGCCTGATGGAGTAGTTTCTTATAAATTGTTATCAAATCAGTTAAAAAGATTTAGGCCACGCATTCATTTATTTATATCGGAGTGAATAAAAATTGTAAAAAGTGTGACGAAAAATGAAAATTAAGTCAGCTTCTAGTAAGCCTGTGTACAGACGCCTCCACCGCTCGTTTTTTTTTTTTTTTTTTTTTTTTTTTTTTTGGGGGGGGGGGGG